CCTATATTAGGGTTTTGCAAATAATTATACGAGACTGCACACGGCACGCTGCACCTTAACCGAGAAGTTCGAATGGTAATAAATTGTTAAAAAGTGGTCTCTTATACATATTTACACTTTTGGCCTGCTTACCTTACTTAGAAAGAAGAGAAGAGAGAAAAATGTACAGAACTTTTCAACTTGTAAGCATATAAGTCGTGGAATACAGCGCGTGTTGTGCAGTACACTTTTCAAATTATAATACAAACGACACGATTGTAATTTCCTCATTCTTTGCATTCAACTTCACTCAGTTCTCAAACCTCTGTGCATAAAAGCCTTATCGCTTACACCATTCAACATTCGTTCAAATATTTCCATTCAGGACCAAAAATATCAACACAAGCCAAGATTTTCATTGAATCCACTCCAATAACCGAGGCGCCCAGTACAGCAACTTCGGAAGCAGAAAACACTACCGAAGCCATTACCGACGGTGTTACAGTAAAAACAGAAGACACTACTCCAGTCACTGAAGCTACTTCTGTGACGACAGAGGAGGCTACCGTAACCACGGAGGAGGCTACCGTAACCACGGAGGAGAGCAATGCAACCGCAGAAGAGACGAAGGCAACAGCAGCAGAGACTGACGCAACTGCAGAAGAGACTAGCACGAAGGAGGCTACAGTAACCACAGAGGAGACAAGCGCAACAGCAGAGGAGACTAGGACAACAGCAGAAGAGGCTAAGACAACCGCAGAGGAGACTAAGACAACCGCAGAGGAGACTACCATAACCACAGAGGCAACTACCGTAACCACAGAGGCAACTACAGTAACCACAGAAGCAACTACCGTAACCAATGAAGCCACAGATGCAGAGACAACGATAGCTGAGACCACAGCAGATGTCACAACAGCTGCGACGTCAGCTGAGGCAGCCAGGGCCCATGCTGCTCCATTAAAGGAAATTTCTGAAGCAGAAGGAAGTGGTGTTGCAGTGGAACGAGCAGAGGTTGAAGAACATGATGAGTCAGCCAATGTTACCGAGATTGATCCAGAAAAGTTGGAAAAAGTCATTAGTACGATGGAGAAAATGATAGACAAGTTGGAGAAAATACAAGTCAGAGATAAGAAGACAGATAAGGAGAAGGAAAAAGAGAAGAAAAAAGCAGGCAAGAAGGATAGCCTGAAAAAGGAAACTGCGAAGAAGGTGAAGACAAAGCAAAGCTTGGTGAAGATCAATGAAGTGAGTGAAGAATTTGTAGTCAGTAAAGCTGACGCTTGTTTATGGTGTCTTGCGGTGGCGACAACATTTGCGCGGAAATTAATGCACATTGTTAGTCGGCAACTTGCTTGCGTCTTGCACGCGGAAAGTGGCCGTAAACTGCACGATTGCCATCGTTTACGCGCAAATGTTGCTGTCACCGCAAAGGCACGATATTAAGCAAATTACTAAACTGTGCTAATTGGACTGTAAAAAAATTTTTCTTTTTAGAAAATCAAAGAAGATCTCGAGACGGTAACTGCTATGGAAACCGATTTTGACGAAGATGTAAATAAAAACATGGTAAGT